CGGGGAATGAGTGCAGGGATGGACGGCTGTGCCCCAGTCTGTGGGATGCCTGGACCCCACTGGCCTTCTGCTTCCCCAGGAACCCCCTGTCTCAGCTGGAGCTTCTAGGAAGCAGCAGGGGAGCATGTTCCTTTATGCCTTACACCCAAGTCCCCTTGCGCTGTCATGTACAATGCACCCTGCTCTATTAAATGCAGACGTGGGTTTGCATGGCATTTTTGCCGCCTGCTGCATCTACTGTGAGCTCACAGGCCAGGGGCTGCCTCTGGCTGATGGGAGGCCTTTGATGAGGCCGGCAGAGGGGTCTCTGCCAGGCAAGGTTCTGGTTCCTGCTTGGGTTTGGAACAGGGTCTCAAAAGGCCAGACCATTTTCTGTCCTGCAATCCTTGTTACTTGTGTGCCTCCCTCCCCGGGTCCCAGCGTCTACAACACAAGCAGTTAGGGAGTGTCTGCTGTGTGCTAGGTCACTCTTAGCTCATTTAGTCTCAATTCAAGCCCAATGGGGAGCCCGTCATCTCTGTTCCACGGAGGAAAACCCAAGGCTCTGACAAGTAGAGGAGTCATTGTGCCCCACAGCTGCAGAGTGGGGAGCCCAGCCCCGCCTGTCCGGCTCGGGGCCCCAGCCCCACCACAGCCATCTGCTGCCGCCCGTCCCTGGAGCTGCTGCAGGCTGACCAGGGCCGCCTGGCCACCAGCGGCTCCTGTGGAAAGGCAAGGGAGTTGCGTAGAGATCGTTCTCCCTGGCAACTGGCAGAGGGGCCATAAAAAACCGAGAGGGCTCTGAAACTGCTTAACAGACAGATACAGAGCAGCTGGACTCGGGAGGGGAGACCCGCGCCCTCCCCTGGGCTCCCTGCAGAACAGCAGGGCAAAAGGCTGCATCCCACACCCAAACGTGCAGAGACGTGCAGGGGCAGAGGCATCCGCGGGACAGGCGCAGACGCCCACCGCGATCGCGACGGTGGCAGTGCCCCCAAACCTGAGCCCACGGTTGACGAGGGAGCTTGCTGCTCAGCACAGAAAACAGAGGGCTGAGAGTGAGCTTGCTGCCTGCAAAGAGCTGAGGGCAGAGGGGGCGAGGGGCTGCAGCAGAGCCGCGGAGGCAGACGCGGAAAGCAGAGGAGGGCTCCACAAAGCAGCTTGGTGTGCGAGCCCTGAGCGGGCTGCTTGGGGAGAGAGGGAGCTCCCTGTTACGGGAGGCATCCGAGCAGAGAGAGGCAGGCCGGTCCTTGGCCAGGAGGCTGCAGCACGGCTCCCTGCCCGGGCTGGCAGCCCGCACGTCTAGGCCTTTGAGAAGCTCATACAGAGCTGAGCCCTGCGTGGGGCTGGCTGCGGACGAGCAGGCTGGGGTCAGAGCAAGGATACGCAGGCTTTCGCGTGTAGCTGGCCCTGAGCTGAATGGCACCGGGAAGGCTGGTGGAGCGTCTGTCACAATGAGGCAGTGAGGGAGAGGAGCAGAGAATGGGGGTGAGTGCTGGGCCGGCAGGGGGGAGGTGAGGGGCTGTCCTGCAGCCAACTCCCCATCTCAAAGGCCGGGACCCCTGGAGAGGCCCCGGCTCACAGGCACAACAACGCTGGCCTGGGTCTCTCTGGGGCGACAGGCTGGTGCAGGGGTGGGGAAAAGTGGAAGGAGGGGGGTCTGGTGAGCTGAGGGGCCGGCATGGTCATGGGAAAACCAGAGCCCTTCTCTGGAGGCTGGGCCACAGCTACAGATCCAGCCGGATGACGTGGGTATCTGGGGACACGTGAAGCCCCCTTGCCCGGCACTGGAGCCGAGGGGCCCACGTATTGGTGAATATGGCCCACACTGCAGCAGGGCGCTGGCTCTCCAGGCCCATTCATGGGGGCTCAGTTCCCAGGAACTCTGAGTGGATGAGGCCTTTATCAGGGGCCCCCCACTAGACAAGGCTCTGTTCTGTTTCTAAAGGAGTTTTCTTGTCTTTGTTCCCAGTGCAGGCACTCAGCATGTGCACGCGGGCGTGTGTGTTTATGTGTGTGTGTGTGTGTAACAGACTGACTTAGGGGCCAGCCCCAGTTCCTAGTCCAGGAAATGACCAAGGTGGCCTAGCTCACCCCTGGAGCAGGGACGCACTCCACGGGGAGGAAGCCTCAGGGAGGGCAGAGGCACCCAGGGCCAGGGATAGAGCTCCTCCTCGTGACTGGGGCCCACCTGCCCTGCTCCTGACAAGCCCATCTGCCCGCCTCAGGCTCAGGGTCCCGCCGGCTGCTCTGACCCGCCGTGGGGGGGCAGCATCGTGTTGCAGGTGGGGAGTGCAGGCTGGCTCCTCGCAGACAGACTGACCTGGCCCCCTTAGAAGCGGGAGCAAGCCCTTGGGGAAACTGCTCTCTCAGAGCCTGGGTTTTGCTGTTTCTTTGCCACTGCTGTTGTTTTAATCTATTAAAGGATTGCTTTGAAACTGCCGATGTGAAAATGTTTGGTAAAGTGGAATTTACATCTGCGTTACTGCTTCAGCACCACCACACAGGGGGAGGGGGCAGTGCGGGGTGGGGGGGGACAGGAAGTCACACATTTTGCAAATAAAGGTTTCTGGTTGGGGATAGCTGGTGGTATGGAAAAACGTTTTGGCATGGATTTGAAAAATCACCTACCCAAATCCCAACCTGGCAGCAAACCCGTTAGCCCCTGATGAGCAAACTGGCTGGGGAGGAGGTACTAATCCCCCTCCCATTCATCCTTCCCTGACTCAAACATGAGCCTAGCCAGCTCCCTCGCCCCTCGCCCCGTCAGGAGGAAGTTAGGAATGGAGTTTGGGCATGAAGCACAAGCTGCCTGGTAGAGGTACAGGCAGCCCCATGAAGCCCGAGAGAAGCACCCAGGTGTGGGGCGTGTGTCTGACCAGGCACACGCTCGAGTAAATAAACAGAAAACCCAGGAGAGAGGCATCATTGTGCCCAATGGCCGTGGAAGTTCACTTTTGTGTAAAAGGCAACATGTAAGTCTTAACTTCTCTTAGGTAAGGCTGTCTCAGCACACAAAAACCTCACTGAGGCTGGGCCCGGCCCAGAGAGTGTTTTCTGTGAAACTCAGGAGAAGTCAGGTTTAGCTACAAGTTTTTCCAGGAATCATTAACCTCTGGAGACTGGGGCCACCGTTCCTTCCGGGCCGCCCTTGCCAAAACCCATAAAATACAATCCTAAAATATCTGCCTGAAGAGCAGTCTGACCTTTTATATAGATTTATGACAAATAAAATACACTGTTGTCAAACTTTCCAGGAGAACCCCATTAAAACCCCCTTTGCTGGCTCCCAGGTGGCCAACACGAGGCCCGCGTTTCCCTGGGGGGGAGGCTCTGTGCGGCTCAGGGGGGACTCTGTTGCCCTCACAACTCTGGCTCTGCTGTTTTTTCTCTGTGGGTCTGCTCTGAAAAGCAGCTGCCTGTGTCTCAGGGAGGACGGGTGGGCGTTTGGGGATGGGATGAGACGGGGAAGGCTACTGGTTTTACCGGCTCCTGTGCGCTGTGTCATCACCTCGCGCAGCCTCAGTGCTCCGCATGGCAGGTGATTTCTTTTTCTAACATCAGGAAACCAAGGCAGCAGAATTCTTGGGGATTCACCAAGGACTCACGGCTCTGCTGTGTAGCTGGAATGGCCGGCCCGTCAGGGTGTCTCCCACCCCTCTCCCCGAGAAGAGAAGGGACACCAGAGCTTCCAGCACCTCTGGTGACTCACACTCCTGACAAGCCGACGAAGTCCCTGCCTCCCACCACAGCCCCTCTATCCCATGCCTGTGCTCCTTCTAGAACACACCTGCCATCCCCACCCCCAGAACTGTCGCCACCACCCCAGCCGGTGGTCCTGCTGCCGCAGGCTGGACTCCCCTCGGCATGCTCCAGGCCCAGGCCCATCTCCCTCTAGAAATGAGCAAGCCGTGAAAAGACATAGGCTGTAATTATGTCCCACAAACTGACACTCTCAGCTCTGAGATGCTGCCACTCCCAACCTATGGACTCCATGGCCCTGGGTTCTGTGGCCCTGCACACGGCAGCCACTGGGGTGACCTGATGTGTGCACCCAAGAGGTCGGGGCAGAGCAGCCTGGGGCAGTGAGGGATGCTGTCCTGGGCTCCCAGGTGTGTGTGCAGTTTGACAGCATTCTGAGGACTCACCCAGTGTGCAGAGCTGACAGCTAAGTCCTCTGACACTGCCCCTCGGCCCAGGGAAGAGTGTGAGGTGGTTTTCAGTTACAGAAAGTCAGATCCAGCAACACAGGAGCCATGGGCACTGGAAAGGGACAAAGGAAAGGGGTGATTAACATGTGGCCAGTTTCATGAATTCTAGAAAAATGCAAAACATTCTCCTAGACTAGGAAAATGTGTCAGTGAAACATCACCATCCTGGGGCCTGTGCTTTGCTGGACTTTTGATCAAAGTGTTGTGGGTGGTTGGGGACGGGGGGGTTCTCCCTCTAACTTTGGATTCACCAAAAGGGACATCTCAAAGCCTGGCCTGAAGGCTCAAGAGAAGGTGGCTGGAAAGGCGCAGCCAAAACCCCTAAGTGTGAAAAGGCAGGGTACACACAGAGACTAGCAGGTAGCTCCCCAGGGCTGCAGGGCGCCCAGCAGGGAAATGTATGGGAGTTGGGCAGGGGACATGAAGCCAGGAAGCTTCCAGACAGACCCTGAAGGGTTTTACATGCCAGGCAAATGCTCTTGGACCAACCCAAAAGCTCCAGAAAGTCCACTGGATATTTAATAAGACAGTGACAAGGTCAAAATGGCATTTTAGAAATGATAATAAACTTTGCAAACCATTTAACCCAGCTATCCCACTTCTAAGAAGTTGGATGTTTGTAGATTGGCTGTTAAGAATGCTTATTGCGGGGCCCTTAGCAATAACAAAAAATTGGAAACAGTTTTTATCTTTTTTAGATGTCAGTTGAACAGAATTGTATTAATGAAAACCTCGGTTCATGACATGCCCTCCTCATTAATTTGTGCAAGGACTACTTTTATTTTATGTATTCATTTTTATTTACTCTCTTCAATAATACAACAAGCTCCCATGGTCCCCTGACCCCCAACCCCGACAATTGGGACTTTGACCACAGCTTCTATCTGCACATTCACCCCCACCCAGCACACTTACAGCTGAGATTTTCAACAATACATGAAGGTCTAACAACGATGCCTATATACCCCAGAATATCAAACAGCTCTTAAAAAGAACGAAACAGCAAGACCTATTGTCTTTTAATGGACCTCAGGATTAAACATGATCCTTTATTCATCAACACATTCTCATCATTGGCCCAGGCATTTCCTTCTTTCATATTGCTAATTTATGCATTCATACACTCGTTGTTTGTAATAATGTTATAAACATTCATGAGCCCACCCCTCAAAACCAGATCTTAAAAACAGTTACTTTCATCTGCTTTCACGATGTGTGCCCACGGGGTGAGGACCCGGGGCTTTTGTAACAGAGTCAAGGGGTTAAATAAACTCCAGTGGGTACTGATTACAGGATGCTAAGGTGTTGATCTTTATTATCATCTCCAAGCAGATTCTTGGGGGGAAGAAACACAAGCTGCACAAAAGGAAATGTACACGATGATACACTTTCTATAAAAAATAAACAAAATCATGTATTTTAGAGGTCTATTTACATACATATGTAAATGCACAGAAATATATCTGAAAGCACACATCTGAAACTGATATGCTGAGATGGGGGAGCTGGGGAGAGAGGGGTTGAAGATGGCTTTAGCTTTTATCTACAGTATTTGATTTTAGCAACATATGTCTTATTTATCAATGCATTTCTTGCATAATTAAAATACATATTTAGGGGGGAGCCTGGGTTTTTTTGTTTGTTTGTTTGCTTGTTTGTTTGTGGGGTTTTGAGGATTTGGTTTTTCACAAATACAAAATACGCCTTGCTGATGGATCAGGCAAGGGCACATAGCCCCAAAACAAGTTCTGTAGACACAGGTGGTTTATTTTATCCCAAAGATCATTCCTTTTTTATTTTATATGGAGTCCAGGGCCTCCAAATGGCATGTCAATGACATGAGGCCAGCAGGTGCGTGCCAGCCAGCTGTGATTTCACCACCCGTGGGCCCCAAATCCCTCCAGAGCCGCCTGGCGGGTGTCTGCAATGCACACACGGGGGACGAATTTCCTTTTCAGTCTCTAAGAGGTTCCAAAAGCTAATGCCCTGACCCATGCTCTCAGGGATTAGCTAACTGGAATGAGAATCTGAAAAAACATGACATGAGATGGTGAAGGGGACACATGGGCCACTGGGGACCAGCATCCCCGCAGCTCACACACATTAACAGTCACATGGCTTGCTGGCAAAGAGCTGGGCTGAGCTGCATCCTCGGGCAGGCTGATTCCCGTGTGGAACCCACAACCCACAGCTGCCATGTCTCCTCCCACCTCTTAGCAGAGGGCATGCAGCTGAAAAGCACAGGTATTTCTAACCTGTTAGCTCCGTGAGAATAGGGAGCAATCTTGCTGGTCTTTGCCTGCCCCCTTTGTGCCCAGGGGGGCACACTGCACCCAATATCCCGTCGGACCCCCCCTCACCCTGAGACACCTCAGTTTCTGCTTGCACACTAAGCCTCAAACTCAACTCCTCAGGCCCCTTCAGCTGTTGAGGGCTGTCAGAATCCCTGAACAGACATGGGGCTGTGTGCAACAAAGATGATCCTACTGTCATCTACAGATTAAAAACGTGGAGGCTCATAGACCCCAAGTCCGTCTTGCACCCGTGTCTGGTTTTGTCTTGGCCCCCGTCCACAGAGGTCAACTAATTGGTTACTTGGTTAGAATCTCTCCTCTCACAGACAGGGACCTTCTAGACCTTTCCTCCCCTCTGCTGGGCAAAGACCTAATTTTCATGCCTTTTTGCAGAAGAAACGTGAGTCCAGGCTAACTATCCCTGCCAGCGCAGCCCAGGTCTTCATCACCTTTCCCGCAGCACCAGAGGCACTGGTGTTTGTTTCACAGCATTTATTTTGGACTCGCTCTGGGCCTGGTGAATTCTTTGAGGTGGTCTGTCGTGGTTTTTCAGATGCAAAATATTTTTAAGGTAAATAAAAATAAGATGTAGTACCCAAGTTGCAGTTACCCACCTCCACCTCTGGGCCAGGGTGATTCAACACAACTCCCTGCTCGGGAGGCTGCGTGAACCCAAGTGAGGCCAGTCAAGTGATGCAGGTGACCCAAGCAAGGGCACCCTGGACCCAGCACTGACCCTCCTTGTCCCTGGTCACCTGGTCTTCCCTCTGGAGTCTACAAAACTGACACAGGCTTTCAAAGGGACAGTAAAGGGACAGATCCACCTCAATAAAGAACTATTTTTAAGCATGTTGAATACCCACTGGGCCAGGTATATTATGTTTAATTTCATTTAGAGTATCAAGGCAATGCTTAAAGGAGGCTGTCCCCATCCTACAAGCGAGGGAGGGGGACTTAGAGTCACTGGACCAAGGTCACCCACCTCCTCCCGGGATGCCTCTCCACACCCCCTGCCAGCAGGCTTTCTGAACCCTCCATGTCCCAATTGTGGGCACCCCTTTGTATAACTGGTGAGACTTTAATACCTCCCAGGAGTATGTATAACAGACAAATAAGAGTTTTAAACAGTGTTATTCTGGGTTTTTAGCTATATTCCTGTATTAAGGTTGTGTAATGCCCCACTCCTCGAGGCCTCCGCCTCCCCAAAGAGGTCGTCAGTGTAACAGAGCAGGGTGTACGTACCTGGTCTGCCATGAGGTCAGCCTAGGTGGGCCCTGCAACACTCTGGGCAGGTGTGCCATCCATGCAGGCCAGGGCCGGGCCTCGCCTTGGCAAGTAGAGCCCACCAACTCACTGCCCAACTGGGGGGCAGTGAGCCTCAGCCTAAGCTGCAAGATGAAGGGCTCAAGTTAGTTCCACTCAGGAGTCGGCACACATACAAACCGTCCAAATCTACAACTCAGAAAAAAAGATCAGTTTTCAGACCTTTTTTATTCGATCCTGGGCCAGGCATCTGCTCCCACCCAGGAGAAAGCCGCCGTCTCGCCTGCACACCACCTGGGACGAGAGAAGATAAACTGATCACAGGGTTCCTTGGCCAAGGTGCAGCCTACCTCTCGGAGTTGCGGCCTCAGGCCTTGCCTGCTGCCCGCAGCCCTACTATGCACCAAGGCAAGGGAGGGGGAACACAGGTGTACCAAGTGCAGAATGGCACCAGGGGCAGGACAGAACACCACAGGGGACCGTGTGGACAGGAGTCCCAGTGAGGGAGGGACCCCCCAGCCTGGGAAAATGCCTCTTATAATTGCCTGTGAAGTCAAAGGTCAGGGAGTCCAGAGATTTACTGGGCGTCAGGTAAGGAGCCTGGACCTGAGCCTCTCAGCAATTCTTACTTGCATTTGCTTGGGAGTCACAGAAAGGCGGGACCTGAGTCCAGTGTGGACCCCAGCTGGGGTGACCTGCTGGCACTGAGGTGCCAGGGAGGTGCAATCTTAGTCAGTCCTGCTTAGCGAAGAGAGGTCAGGCCCCATAGTGGTTTGAGGTCTGTCTCGGCGCTTCTCAGCCCTCCTCTGAAAAATGGAGATAGTAAAAGTAACACTTTCATAGACTGTCATAAAGAGTAAAGAACTGAAATAGTGCCCGGCACATAGTAAGTGCTCAGGAAATCTGGTGGAGGTAGCCAAGTGCAGCAGGGCGGGAAAGCAGCTCATAGCCACAGTCTTTTGAGGAAGCAGGCGGGGAAGGCTACAAGTGGGCTGTGGTCACTGCCATGGGAAGTGCATGCCCGTCCCAAGGCTGGGCTCTCGTCATTAAGCAGTACATTTATCCAATGACTTTTTAGAAAGAAGCCAAGCTCCAGTCAACGGCGCATCGGCCAATCCACTGAGCGCTTGCATCAAAGGTAAGATGTGGGGTGGGGTCCCGTGCCCACCACCCCCAGGGGGCCTGGTGGGTGGGAGCGAGGCTCAGTAACACAGGTTAAAGAGCGACTGTCTACAAGAAACCATGATATGGGGGCCTCAACACCTCTGCTGAGCTCCTTGAGTGGCTATAATTAGCAGGTCCTGGGCCAGCTGTCCTGTGCCTCTGCTGACAACCAAATCAGCCAAAACGTGGGGCAGGTGACCATGTGAGCTTCCCAGGGAGGCAGGAGCAGGCACCCCCACCAGGCCAGAGGGCTGACCACATGGACACCATGGAATGAAAGGGCCCCTTGGGGTCCCCAAGTGGCCACTTCCCACCATACTCGGGGCATGTGCCCTCTCCACGTTCCAGGGGAGGAGGAGATCTGGGCATGGAGTGCTGCCTCTGCCTTCCCAAACAAGGTCCCCTAAACCTCAAGTCAACCTGAGGAACAGGGAGCCCCCCCATGGGTAAGGAGCCAAGTCAGTATCAGGGGCCGAGCAGCTCCATCCAGCAGGACACAGAGCAGACACGCGGAGAACACCGTCCGGATGATGGGCCCGTTGTGCACCTGCCCACCCATAACCTTGCTGCCTTGGGCTGCAATCTTATTGCTGGGGGTGCATGAGGGCCTGGGTCCAGGTATCATTGCCAATGCTAATTATAGCCCCTGGGCAAGTCACTTCACCTCTCTGGACCCAGGTCACTCACTTTCAAGGCAAGGCATATTCATCTCATGGGATTAATGGGAAATTGAAGTTGACAGTGTGTGTGAAAATGCTGTCTGAGCCCTGACTGCTACATGCGGCAGCGGCTTTGAAAGTAATGATCCTAACAGCCCTAATAACAGGCCCCTACTTGCCGTGGGATTTCCAGGTTACAAGGGACTTGACACGCCCCTCTCCTAGGAAGGAGGTGATCCTCCACTTTGTAAAGAGGGATACTGAGGCCAGCCTCTGCCTCCCACTCTGACCCTAGTTTCCCCCCTGCCCAAGGCCAGGCCCTCCTCTTTCACCTTTAAATCCCCAGCCTCTTCCCCCAAGAAACCCCCATGCTCCAAGCCTACAGCTCTGGGCTCGTCCATGTCATCAAAACATCAGGCAAAAGAGGGGCCCCACCAGGGACATGAAAGACATCCCACTCAGACCCCCCCCAGGCCAGCTGTCAAGCAGCAGGAACCCTAGAAGAAACCACCCTGCCAGTGCTCCCCACCTAGGCTTATGCGTGGGGACCTCTGTTTAAACAAAACTGCCTGAGGACCCCCAATTTCTAAGAGCAGCTGGTGGTGGAGTCCCTGTGCTCCACCTGCTCAGCCAACCCCTCCACGTCACCATGGCTCCCCAGGATCACGCTAGGTCACCGGCCGGGGCTCCAGAATCACAGGAGCCAAGTGAGAACACTGCCCAAGACCTCCTGGCAGATCTGGGGAAACTGAGGCCCCAGGAGAAGAGCACACTGTCAGCATGGGCCCCGCTGGCGGAGGCGCAGCGTCTGCCCCCTGCCGACCTGCCTTGAAAGGCAAGAGCAGCCTCAGGGGCAGTGGATTGGCCCAGCACTTCCAGACACTCCCCCGTGAGCCCCCTCCGGCCCCTCCCTCGGGCCCCGCCCACTATCCTTCTGGGCAGAGCGGCCCAGCTGCCCCCTGGAGCTGCCAGGCTGAGGCAGGGCAGGGACTCGGCAGCAGGAACATTAGGGGGTCAGGGGCACTGCCCTCAGCCTGTGATGGCTTGGGGAGATGACGGGTTGGGGGGACTCTCTCCAGGAAGCCCCCCACCCAGCACGTTTAGGGGTTGGAGGAGAAACCCTGAGCAGAGCCCCAGCATCACTGTAACTCCCCGACGCATCCTGGATTGCGGTGACCCCCTTCCAGAGCTCAGTTTCCCCAGTGATGTCCAAGACCCAGTGGGGCCTGACACTCGGGGACCTCTGTACAGGTGCCGGGGAAGGGAGGGGAGCAGCTCCGACTGGCTGTTCTGGGTAGAGATGCAAAGGGTCTTCCAGCTGGGAGGCCACAAGGCGGGGGTCCGCCAGGACCCGGGACTCAACCCAGTATCCTCATGGGGTCTTCAGGGAGTCCTCTCCCAAGTCCCACCACCCTGGCTCGGCCACTTCTGCGCAGGCTGAGTGAGCAGAGAGGCCACTGGCCCCAGTGAGGGAAAGAAACCCAGGAGCCCCAACCTCGGCCTGCCAAGAGCGACACCGACCTTAGCACTGGTTTAACAAGGTAACTAGCCTCCACCTGAGGCCGTCCCGGTACCCCTGAGTGCCCACCCCGTCTCCATCTCAACTCCCATCCGGCCACCGGCAGGTCCAGGTGGCAGGAGTAAACGGGACGTTCATTTCTGGTCATCTAGCCCCTAAGAGCTGGTGTCTGTGTCCCTCAAACCCAATGGCCTAGAGTCAGGCCAGGACAGACAGCTCTACTCACACTAGCCCTGATACCCATCTGGGCAGCTGGGGTCTGAGAGCCAGAAAGGGGGACCCTGGAAGAGAGAACCCCCACTTCCCTCCTCTTTCCACCCTTATGCCTCCTTTTTCTCAGTCCCCACCTTCCTCCTCTGCAATTTGGGCCTGCCCCCTCCCGTCCTCACCTCTCCCCTAATTCTCCACCCCCCACCCCAGGCTCAACTCTGCTCCTAAATATCCTCCCATCTCCTCTTCCAAGCTCTATTTTTAAAATCAGATTTCCTTTACTGTACAAGTGAGCTGACAGGGAGAGGTATTCGCCGAGGGATTGGCCCCCCCCCCGGGCTCCCCCAACACCAACCCTTCATAGACGCACGTAGGCAGCCCTGACCCAATGGGCCACTTGCTCAGAGGCAAGCAAGGAGCTGACCTGCCCAAGAAGCTCCAGGCACGGAAGGTGGTGAGGCTGGGTGTCTGTCTGTAAGTGTTGGGAGGGAAGAGGGTCCAACTCAAGACCTCCAGGGGAGTTCTGACCCCAAACTAGGTGCACTAAATCCTGATTTTTACTTTTTTATTTTTGGTAAGGTGGGAATTTCCTAATCAGTAGATATTTCTTAAAGAAATTGTCATGAGGCTTAACATCTCAACGTTTACCAAGCTGCATTTGCAAAACTGAGAATATTCCAGTGAGCTCAGAGAAGCTGCAGGGCAGCCCTTGGGCTGGGCAGTGGGCACACAGGGCCAGAGTCAGAGGAAGCCTGCGCCCCGCCTGTGAAGCCATGCATGGCAGGCCAGGGGCACCCATGCAGTGAAATCATGGCCCTAGCCATGCCCAAAGTCCTTGCAAAGGGGCAGGTGGCGGAGCCCAGTGGAGCCTCGAAGGAGATGCTCACCAGTAGAGGGAGACCCCCTGGCCTGGCCCCCAAGACCTTGCGCTCACCTCCAGCAGGGCATCCAACGCAAGGGCGTGGTCCTCATCTTGCTGGTGGTGGTGTGCAAGGGAAGGCCACCTCCATTTCTTCACAGGGGGGATTTGGACAGCGCCTGGCCCAGAAAAAACAAGCAGGATGTGTTGCTGGATGGATTAATGAGTTCTAAGCAGGGGGACTGGCTGAAAAACTAAGATCCAGGACAATCAAATCGACATGTGTTTGTGTACAGAAGTCAAATGTGAGAACAAGCACCTGAAGCTAGAGTTGGAAAAGGTGAAAAATTGGGGTTTTATGCCAAGCAAGTTAGGCTTTCTTTCCCACTAAACAGCAATGTGAAGATTTTTCACTATAACAAATACTTGGTCCAATATACATTTCATGCTCAGGCATTTTGATTTTATGCTGTGGACATGAAATGTGAAAGGCTTTTAAACTGAGAATACCATCCCATGATTAAATCTGGGTGTCATGCTAAGACACTGAGCCACTTTGTTAGTGAAGAAAATACATGAAAAGATTTTAAGCAGAGAGTTCATGAAGAGGTTTGGGGTTTGGGAGAGAAGATCTGGACTTTATTTTGAGGAGTGACAGGATCAAGCTTTTCTGTCATGCTGAGGAGTTTGGATTCTTGCCAAAGGCTTTACAAGAAATGCAATGGTGAGATTTTTGCTTATGAGGGATCAGTCTGCAGAGAAACATGATAAAATGTATTTTAAGGTTAGCAGCTTTGGACTTTATATTACAGGCAACGAGCAAACACTGGAAGATTGTAAATAGAAATAGGAAAGTAACAGCCTCAAATTTAAATATCGTGCTAAAACATTTGGACTGTATACATTGACAGGGTGCCCAAGTCGGACTCTGAGAGCATACCAAGGGGATTTGATTGACGGTAACACCGAAGCTGAAAGACTTTAATCAAAGGAGTTGCATGACCAACATTGGAAATATGGAAAAAATTTTGCAATTTATTTTGAGGTGCTGACATGATTAGATTTGTGCATATGCCTCTGAATTTGATTTAAGTCAATAAAAAGTTTGTAAGACAGTAAGCCAGTGACATTTTTTTTGTATTTGATCAACAGTATGCATATCATAAATGTCTATGGTAATTACTAAAATCACAAAATAAATTAAGAATTTGGACTTGTATTCCATAATTCCACAAGTAAGAGACACTGATAAGATTTTTAAGGTGGTGTTATAAGATCAAATTTTATATGCCATGCTAGGAAATATGAATTTTATTTTATGGGATGACAAGATAGAATTTTTATTATCATGCCAATATGTTGGATTGAAGCCAATGAAGTATTTAAAAGAATGACAGGGTGAGATGTGGGGTTTTTCACAGACCAGTCTGAAGATAAATTACATGGTAAAATGTTGCATTTTATGTAAAGTTGTTGGGACTTTATTATTACAGGCAATGAAGAAACCTTGAAAAGCTTTAAACTGGGGAGTTACATCATCAAACTTACACATTTTGGCAGTGCTACAAGAGTGGATTTTATGGTAAAGATAATATGACTGGATTTTTATAACACCAAGGAGATGTGATTTTATGTGAGAGGTGAAGATATTCGAGCATTTCATTTTGGGGAGGGACATGATCTCATTTCTGAACCCTCCCTCATGCAGAGGCATTCGGACTGAAGCCAGTAATGGGTTTTAAGTGACTGATCAGTTTTGCATGCAGGGCAATTAGCTGGTAAACATATTTTATGCTAAGGAGTCTGGATTTGATGAACCAGATAATGAGCGAGCACGGACAGCTCAGAGGAGGTACTCCTTGGCACAGGCCACCTGTCTATGCTTTATGCTGAGGAACTGGATCACTTATAGCAAGAAATACAGAGGAGAGGCAGGTTGTATGATTGAAATCACAGAGAATGCTAACAAGTTTGGAAACTATTTTGAGGAATTGAGGAATAACAGGATCACATTTTTGTGCCACGTGTAGGAAGCTGGATTTCAGCCATTAAGAGATTTTAAGAGAGTGACACGACAAAGTTTGTGTGTGTGATAAGAGCAGTCTGCAGAGAAATTATGTAGTAAAATATGTATTTATGCTAAGGAGTTTACATCTTATTGCATAGGTAATTAAGTGGTATTATAAGGCTTAAAGTAAAGGTTAGGAGACCAAATTCATGTATCATGTATTATTTTGAGGAATGATGTCAAATTTTTATATCATGCTTATATTGGTTATTAAGCCAATGGAGTATTTAAGGATTGGCCTGGCTTATATCAGTTTGCAGATGGTAACAATTTTTATTTGATGCTAAGTAATTAGAACTTCGTATTATAGTTAATGAAAAGAAACTTAAGTTTTAAACAGAGAAATTATAGTATTTAAGGATTGGCCTGGCTTATATCAGTTTGCAGATGGTAACAATTTTTATTTGATGCTAAGTAATTAGAACTTCGTATTATAGTTAATGAAAAGAAACTTAAGTTTTAAACAGAGAAATTATAGCATAAGTTCTACGTATCTAAATAAAAGTTTGAAATTTCATGTTAAGGAGTATTAAGATCAAGTTTTTATAGCATTCCAAGAATATTCGATTTTAGGTTGAAGACAGGAAAAGTTGAAGGGTTTAATCAGTTACAATCATTAGATTTGTAACTATGGTAAGAATATAGACTCCTATTAAGAAAGGGTATAATATAATCATTAAATAATCTTGCTAAAGAGTTTAAATTTTAGTCAATAAAGAGTTTTAAGGGTTCTCAGAGACATACTAAGATTTTAAATTTAAATTTTAGCCAATTAAAAATCTTATATTTTTAAGTTTTAACCAATAAAAGGTTTTAAGGGTTTTCAGAGGCATACTGAGATTTAACATTTTTAATTTTAGCCTACTTAAATTCTTAAATTTTAAAGTTTTAGCCAATAAGGGGTTTTAAGGGTTTTTAAGGACTTTCTGAGACATACTGAGATTTGAAATTTTACATTTTAGCTAGTGTCAATGCTTTAATTTTAAATTTTAGCCAATTTAAATTCTAACTTTAAATTATAGCCAAAAAAGTTATTAAGGGTTTTAAGAGACATACAGATTTTTATTTCTAACAGATGAGTCTGCAGATTAATAACTTAAGTCAAATTTTGTATTTCAATTCACACTTTAGAGAGCTGGCATTTCCCAGTAATAATACATGCCTTACAGGACTTTTATGGAGAGGAAAGGAGTTTATTTATGCAATGTGCTATGCACTGTTGTTACTATGATGGTGGTGATTTTACCTGATTGGCCCATCCTGTCATGGTAATCTCTTCTTTGAGGAATCACATGATCAGAATTTTCTATTACTCTAAGGCCTTTAAATTGAAGCCGTAAAGTGATTTTGGTGAGGTATGTGTCAGGAATCTTTATGCCAAAAGGTTTGGGTTTAACATTATAGACAGTAATAAAACAGTTAGTGATTTTAATGAGAGCGCCTGCAGGATCACATTTAACTGTCATGCTAACAAGAATGTACTTAATTTTCAGAAAGAGCAAATCAGAATTGTTTTTTATTGGGAAGTTTGGATTTTAGCCAATGAGGAGTTTTACCTAAGGGAATCAATCCACAGGCTGTTTTTGTTTTGTTTTGTTTAAATAGATTAGCCCAATGGCTCAGAAGAAAACCGAGAACTAACAAAAGATGTTAGATGTGTAAAGAGCAGTAATCCTAGAGCTAATCTACTAGATAACCAGAACCCACATTTGCTCTGTCTGAGCAAAGAAGAAAGGTGCAGATAACTCCAACGAGGACCACTTTACATTCAGTCTCAGCCCACTAAAACCACCCATGACTAGATTTTCAAAAATCCATTCCAAAACAATCAGAGATCAAAGTAGCCTCATGCCCTCCCACACCCCTACCTCTTAGCTCAATATCCCAACTCTACCAGACATACCCCGCTATGTTGGGAGAGCACCACCCAGCAACCAAGGAAAGGATGTCTTTGCGAATACAAAGGACCAGCCCCCCATAAGATCAGAGGGGTGTGGAAATATGTTTGCACATGTGGAATTCGGGCCAAATATTTGAGGTTGCTGAACCCCAAACACAAAGAGGGCAATCTTGGGAAGGTAGAGATTTTAGGAGAGGTGTGCACATCCCCTCAACAGCTTGGCACCAGGGAGACCCAGCATTGAAAGCTGATGAAAGAGAGGAAGAGAAATCAGCAAAAATTCTGAGTTAGAATCAGGTGGCATATGTACAAGGCTCTGGCACCTAGTAGGTGTTTTATAAGCATTTATGGAAAACACAAAAGCCAGCACTCTTTATCTGCCCTCCTCTCCAATTTCTGCTTTGAATCTGGGGGAGGAAATAAGAGCTATTTAGGGGCTCCTGAGCCAGCTTGCGGGAGAGTGCCACGCACCCATTTCCTCCTCGTCCCCAAGCTTGTTAAGCAGTAAACATCTCTGTAGGGATCCCCACCCAACAACTGAGGCAGCCAAGCTCCCTGCAGGCAACCCAGCCTGCCAGGCATGGCTTTGGACAGCACTGAGATGTGACCCGTGACTTCCGGGTGAGCAAAGAGGGAAGGAGGGCTGACCAGGCCTGTATGCCAGGGCGAAATAAAGCGGCCAGGGCATCCTGCCAGGTGCCTGCCTTCCTGCCACGGCAGCCGCTCGGGGCTCATTGCTCCACAGAATTTATGGGCTGTGAATTTCCCACAGCCACAGGGGAAGCAGGCAAGCCAGGAAGGCAGAGCAAGTCTGGGAAAGTAGGCAAGAAGGTCAGGGAATGACATAATTTCTTTCCCTGGGGGTTCCAACGTGGACACAGAGAGGTTTAACCCAGTTTCTCCCTGTTTACATGAGTTGGGTATCTGATTTGTCCTGGAGAACCTGACCCTGACCTTGTGAGACCCTGAAGTGCTGCCTTTACTCCTCACCCCTTCCCCACCTCTAGGTTCTGATCTCCGTCCAGTCACTGACCGGACGCGTCACAACCTTACCAGTCTTCAGAGAACACTCCTTTCCATCCGACGAAATGATAGAACCCTCTGAAGACTCATTTGAGACGATGATGGAGCGTAAGAATCCATCATCAAAACAAATGGAGTCCTCCGAGGGCTCATCCAGCACCACCACGGAGACGTCAGGCAGCAGAGCGCAGGAGGCGGCGGGGCCGGCCAGGGGCCCTGCCCGGGAAATGGAAGAGCTGCCCACTGACCTCCTCCAAGACATGGAGGAGCCATCCAGTGGCCCACATAGGGAAATAAAGGATCCACCCAATGACCTACTCCAAGACCTGGAGGAGTCACGCGATGGCTCACGTCAGGAAGTGGGGCATCCGTTTTGCAAGGCGCCTGACAGAATGGAGGAAGCATCAGTCAGCCCACGTGGAGCCCAGGAGGAGCAACCCCAGGGCACTGACCTGGCTGAGCCGGCAGAGCAGGGGCGTCCTGAAGAGCCGTCCGAGGCCTCGACTGCAGAAATCATGGCCATGGTGAGGTCCATCATCTCGCTGTACTTCCGAATGCAAGACCTCAGAGAGCATGGGGCTCCTGAGCCAGCTTGCGGGAGAGTGCCACGCACCCATTTCCTCCTCGTCCCCAAGCTTGTTAAGCAGTAAACATCTCTGTAGGGATCCCCACCCAACAACTGAGGCAGCCAAGCTCCCTGCAGGCAACCCAGCCTGCCAGGCATGGCTTTGGACAGCACTGAGATGTGACCCGTGACTTCCGGGTGAGCAAAGAGGGAAGGAGGGCTGACCAGGCCTGTATGCCAGGGCGAAATAAAGCGGCCAGGGCATCCTGCCAGGTGCCTGCCTTCCTGCCACGGCAGCCGCTCGGGGCTCATTGCTCCACAGAATTTATGGGCTGTGAATTTCCCACAGCCACAGGGGAAGCAGGCAAGCCAGGAAGGCAGAGCAAGTCTGGGAAAGTAGGCAAGAAGGTCAGGGAATGACATAATTTCTTTCCCTGGGGGTTCCAACGTGGACACAGAGAGGTTTAACCCAGTTTCTCCCTGTTTACATGAGTTGGGTATCTGATTTGTCCTGGAGAACCTGACCCTGACCTTGTGAGACCCTGAAGTGCTGCCTTTACTCCTCACCCCTTCCCCACCTCTAGGTTCTGATCTCCGTCCAGTCACTGACCGGACGCGTCACAACCTTACCAGTCTTCAGAGAACACTCCTTTCCATCCGACGAAATGATAGAACCCTCTGAAGACTCATTTGAGACGATGATGGAGCGTAAGAATCCATCATCAAAACAAATGGAGTCCTCCGAGGGCTCATCCAGCACCACCACGGAGACGTCAGGCAGCAGAGCGCAGGAGGCGGCGGGGCCGGCCAGGGGCCCTGCCCGGGAAATGGAAGAGCTGCCCACTGACCTCCTCCAAGACATGGAGGAGCCATCCAGTGGCCCACATAGGGAAATAAAGGATCCACCCAATGACCTACTCCAAGACCTGGAGGAGTCACGCGATGGCTCACGTCAGGAAGTGGGGCATCCGTTTTGCAAGGCGCCTGACAGAATGGAGGAAGCATCAGTCAGCCCACGTGGAGCCCAGGAGGAGCAACCCCAGGGCACTGACCTGGCTGAGCCGGCAGAGCAGGGGCGTCCTGAAGAGCCGTCCGAGGCCTCGACTGCAGAAATCATGGCCATGGTGAGGTCCATCATCTCGCTGTACTTCCGAATGCAAGACCTCAGAGAGCAACAGAGAGTAGCGGAAGAGATCTTGATGAGAGCGATCCATGCTGGCCGGCTGCCGCTGCCGGCCCACTTCTCCGGTGATCGCAGGGAGTACCACGAGTTCATCGTGCTCTGCCAACTGATGCTACAAAGCTACCCAAGGATGTTCTACAACGACCGCCTGCGAGTGGGGTACATCATCTGCCACCTCTCAGGAATGGCCTTAGAATGGGCCAAAGCTCTGGTGCAGGAAGAGAGCCCCCTGATTGGAGACTTTCCAGCCTTCCTGGAGGCCATGTCGGATGTGTTTGAATACCGGCAGGCACTGCGTGTGGCGGAAGAGGCCATGTTCAACATCAGGCAGGGGGACCGCGCCGCCATCGACTACATCACTGAGTTCCAGGGCCTGGTACCCACCTTGGGCTGGCCAGACGAAGTCCTGCAGGCCCACCTGTGCCAGGGGCTCAACGAGGAGATCAGGCACTATCTGTTCCGGGTCCCTCAGCCGGACTCGCTGGACAGTCTGATCGTGCTCATCCTTCAAATAGAAGAAAAGCTGGCAGAGAGAAGGGCGATGTTCAGGCTGCCCCCCGAGGCCCGCCCACGGAACCTGACCTGGACCGGCTCACCTGCTCCGGAGAGGTGGATGGTCAGCAGCTGGCTGCCTTGTGAAGTCCACCCCACCATTGACCGCGACCATCTCTTCCTGCTGCTCATGGTGAGAGTGAACCCCTACCAAAGCGTGGCAGTTCAAGCCCTGGTCGACTCAGGCACAGGCGCCAACTTCATGGATGAGAGGTTTGCCCAAGAGCACTACGTCGAGCTCTACGAGAAGCCCTACCCACAGCCAGTCCAAACCACAGATGGCTCGCTGATTGGCAACGAACCTGTCTGGCTCTACACTGAACCCCTGTTGTGCATTCACCAGAACCACCAGGAGTCCATCGAATTTGACATAGTTCCTTCACCCAACTTCTCTGTGATATTAGGCGTCAACTGGCTCCGAGTCCACAGCCCCGAGGTCGACTGGATCCAAGGCCGCTGCACCTTCCACTCTCCCTACTGCCTGAAGAACTGCTTCCACCCGCCCCCACCATGCATCGCACTGGAAAGACATGCCATAAGCCTGCTGCCCGGACTGCCGCCCCTGTATTCCGACCTGGCCGACGTGTTTAACCCGAAGGAAGCTGATGATGAGACTTCCGACCAGCCAAGCTCAGACGGATCCGATGATCTTTCTGAATCAGAGCCCTCTGAGCTTCAGCAGGCTGGAGACAGTGATCACAGCGAGACCTTTTACGAATGTCCCTCCACCGCGCCGTGGGAACCTGTGGGTGCCAGGATGCAAGGGCAAGCCAGGCTGCGGGATGAATACTGGGACCTGCAGGACATGCTGACCAACAGACAGGACTACATACAGATGATTCCAGAACTGTTTGACCAGTTACACGGAGCTACATGGTTCACAAAGCTGGAGCTGCGTGGGACTGTAGTGGAGGAAAGCATGAACATACACCAAGCAGAAGACGTATGGAGAGCAGCGTTTGGTCTGGAGCTTCAAGAGATGGAGAGCTACCAGCCCTTCCTGAGATCCTCAGACCCTATCATCCCTCAGAGCGTGATTCACTTCATCCTAAAGGACATGCTGGGCTACTTCGTGCTCTCCTACGGGCAGGACGTCCTGGTCTACTCAATGAGCCAGGAGGAACACCTGCAGCATGTCCGCCAAGTCCTCATCCGCTTCCGGTATCACAGTGTCTACTGCTCACTGGACAGAAGCCAGTTCCACCGACACACTGCCGAGTTCCTAGGATTCGTCATGACCCCCAGAGGGGTGAAGCTGCACAGGAGCGTCGTGACCACTGTCACAGGCTGCCCCACCCCTGGCTCTAAGAAGTCCCTGCAACACCTCCTGGAGTTCATCTTCCCCTACCGGCACTTCGTGGAGCGCTTCACCATCATCACAGAGCCCCTGGTGAGGCAGGTGCTGACCTGCCGACCGTTCTTCTGGGGAGATGAGGAGCAGGCGGCCTTCGAATGCCTAAAGCGGGCTTTCCGCAAGGCGCCCCTTCTCCACCACCCCAAGCCCCAGAACCCGTTCTACCTGGAAACAGGCGTCACCAAGACGGCTCTGCACGCCTCCCTGATCCAGACAGACGACCAAACTGGCAGGAAAGTCTCCTGCGCTTTCTACTCGCGTAACATCTCCCCTATTGAAGTCAACTACTCTCAGCTGGAGATGAAGATTCTTCCTGTAAGGGCTGCCTTCACGGTGTGGTGCCGCTACCTGGAGAACACCGAGGAGCCCATCATGATCCTTCTCAACACAGAGGATCTAGCCTCTCTGAATAATGACAGGCTCACCGTACTTCTCCCTGGGCATTGGGTCTTCTTCTTCTCCCACTTCAACTTTGACGTCATGGAGCAGCCAGAAACACACGGTGGCCGCCCCCGGCCACCCGTGAGGAACCTGGCCAGAAGAGCTTTCCAGCAAAGCCCTGTGGTCCGGCCACTGATACTTCTTGCCACGGGAGGGGCCCCCAGGGACCAGCTCCTGCTGGAATCCGGGGAAGAAGAGGAGAATGAAGATGCACCTCACCAGGACGAGCCAAATGGGCAGAATCTCCAGCAGGAGTTTCTGGCTCTGATTCCGGCCGACCAAATACTCAACAGCTTCCTGGCCCATTTCAGCATAGCCCAGATCAGGGCAGTCATTCTGCATTTCTTCCGAGGCCTCCTATTCTGGAAGAACACCCTGGCGGTGGCGGCACTCCTGGTGCTGCTGAGGCTGAGGCAGCGCCTGGCGCTGCCGCCCACGCCCACCCCGGAGGTGGCTGAGCCCCCATCATGGCGCTCGCTCCGCCTCATCCTGGACTCGTCCCTCATCACAGGCAGCGATGTCGCCACCGCCATCTCCCAGATGCTCACCCAGATGTCCCCTCTCAGGGGCGCCCACGCCGTCCCAGCCCAGGAGCTGGCTGAGCTCTTCCTGGGCCCTGGCCGCTGGCACGGTGCCCTGCTCCCCACCACCCACCACGGCCAGCACTTCACGCCCAGGTTCTGGACCATGCTGGGTGAGTTCTTTGGCGTCAGAGCCGCCCTGCAAGAAGGTGCCCTCCCGCCCCTTCCACGTGGGACCCGCTACCTGGAGCTGCACGTCGTTGGTGAACGTGTCGTCTTGCGAGAAGCCCTGCAAGACGACCTGCAACGTTACCATCAGTGTGGCCTGCATGACGGCCTGCAAGACACCTCGCAGGACGCGCAGCAGCACGACGCACAGCAGGCCCCGGGCACCGGCCCCGCCCCGCCCCTGCGGCCCGGCCGACGCCCCAACACGGACACCGAGGTCCTCACCTTCCTGAGCAACCGCCTGCTCTACATCCGCGGCGCCGACGGGCAGCGCAGCCTCATCAGCCGGGAGCTGGCGGCCAGGGCCCTGACCCGCCTTCTGACCATGATCTACGAGCACGTTGCCCCTGCCGAGGAGGGAGCAACAGTGGAAGAACTGCCCGGCAGCGACGAGGACGTGGGCCTTGACTGAAGCCACCTGCTCCCCAGCGACGGCCCCTCCTCCCTCGGCCCGACGCCCCACGACTTCTCCCCCTCCAGCCTCCCCGGGCCTCAGCCAGCTTCACGCACACCGTGCCCACTTCCTGCCGCTGCTGACCCAAGGGGAACCCACTTGTGAAGGGCAAAAAATTTCTTCAGCTCATCAACCAGCAACATGATCTGTGCCAGTGGGACTAGCCAGCCGTCAGAGACCCAGTTAGCTCGGGGCTACACACTCACAACCCCGGCTTGATTCTCCAGGTCCCAGGCCTGCGC